TTTTATATATTGGATTCTTTATAAAGCAAGATCAGCATAAAAATTTTCGGCAAGTGGCGCAGCACGTGATGTCTTTAACCATACGAAATTTTCGAAATCTATTTAATCTATTCAATTTTGCTCCTACAGTTATGAAAATATATCAAATGAAGGCTTGCAACTTACTCTTCAACTTAACCTTGATAAATTTTAAAAATTAAAAAAATTTTTATTTATTCTTGTTTAAAGTTTTATTTTGAATATTAAGATTAATAAAACAAAAAAAATTTAAAAAAATAGCAATGTTGTTTTGGGGTATATGTTACGAAATACTTATATGCCAATTTTAATTGGAGGTTTGTTTGGCAAATGTGGAGGAGATAGAGTTTGTATTTTTATATTACATTGATTGGTGAAAAATCCCCATATATAATCTTTTGTATGTGTGCTCAACTATGTTTATTATAATTTGTAATACCCAATATGAGATGCTACACTGTCCTAAAGCAGATACTTGACATAAAATTTTATTTTTAGAAGAAATAAAAAATTGAAAAATAAATAGCTGATTGAAAGTTACCTTGATCTCACAGAACAAGAGTCATGGAAAGTATTAGAAGTTGAAGTAAGAGTAGATGTTGAGAAAGAAGAATTAATTATGATCATGGTAGCAGCAATTTTTATGTTGATGAATGTTAAATTCTCTAACCCCTAAAATAATAACAATTCTTATTTACATACAGTAAAATTTAAAATAATATGCATTCATATTTTTGACCAATAATCATTTCAACCATAAATCATTTCAACCATCCAAAATCGTTTTAACTTTTATCAAAAAGTCAAAACTATTTTCAACCATCCAAAAAAATTAAAATTGTTTTTAATTTCGACTTCATGTATAATTTTGAATACAAAGTAAAAAAAAAAAATCAGAAACTAGAAATTTCATAAAATTAAGAATATATTCTTATAAATATAGTGACACCCAAAAGTAACACACCATCCTTACTGCTGACCATTAGTTTCCATATACAGTCGAACCCTCGTTTCAACCAGTGTTGTGACCCGAAACTCTGAGTTTAGGGAAAACCAGAAACAGAAACTAACAGAAACCAGTTTAGGTTAGTAGTTTATGTTTAGGTTTAGGTTTAGTTTTAGTTTTCTGCTTAGTGTAAGTTCATTTTCCAAAACGTTTCGGGAAGCCAAAAGAGTTTCTGGTCGCAACACTGGTTTCAACGGACCTCGTTTCAACGGATTTTTGTTTCAACGGATTTTTAGTTTTACCCCTTGATTTTATTAATATTAATTAAAAAATTCTCGTTTCAACGGATTTTATATTTAAATCGCGTTTCAACGGACAACGGTTTTTTAGTAGTAGTAGGATTTTAGTAATAATAATAAGTACTAATCGCGTTACAATGGATTACGTGATATAGATTTTATAAAAAAAAACCACATTACTATGCTAAATAATTTTCCATATTTCTAAATAATAATTTTACACGAATAATTAAACACACATTATTAAATAATAATATCAAACTTACCATATTTCTAAATAATGATTTTACATGAATAATTAAACACACATCATTAAATAATAATATTAATCAAATTTTCCATATTTCTAAATTGATAATAAATAAATATCTTCTAATAATTCTACATAAT